AAAAAAAAAAAAAAAAAAAAAAAAAAAAAAAAAAAAAAAAAAAAAAAACTTTAAATTTTGTATTCATTGAAAATTGTCAAACCCACCAAGTTTACTTTTATTTATTTATTTTTTTTTAATTTTCCTATTTTTAAATTTTAATATTATTCATTTTTCTATTTTTAACAATTTTTAAAATTAATTTATTATTTAATTAGTTGCATGAGAAAAGGAGATGAATGGATGAACATTCCTCGTAAGAATCTTAATATTTTCCATAAATAAAATACACAAATTATTCCAACAATTTTAAATTGCCAACTAACAGAATTTTATTTAAAACCCAAAATTATGGATTAACTATATATTAAAATGTCAATTTTTTATTAATTTAATTTAATTAATTAATTATCTTAAACTTGGACTAGGAAATAGAGACCCATGAGAAATAGGGATGAATGGACCAAGACTTTGACTCATTCTGTTCCATTAAAATAATTAAAGTTAGTCCACGTCATATACCAAGTTGGCTCTTAGATGTCTAATTTTCTTTACCAAATAATTGAATATAATCACATCTATAATCTAACTTTAATTGATTAATGCCTTAATAACACCCTTTAATTATCGTCCTAGATTCAAATTTTTACTATTTTATTCTGATTCTAATGTTCGAGCTGACCTCAAGAAAGTTTATTTTATATTTGTGAATTCAAATTTTGTCGCAAAGTCACGAGTTTTGTTTTAGGTTAATAACGGGTGGAATTTGAGAGATTTAAACTTTTAACCGTTTGACTAAGGTATATGTTGAATGGAATGAACTATTCGTCCTTGGGATAGAAGTATTGAAATCGATTTGTTGTTAAAAATGAAAATGAAATATGAAAGCAAAAACTCTATCTTTGTAGAAACCAGTAGGTTGCATACCTCCCTAGTGTATTGGCATCTAAGAACCTCTGGGAAGAATGTGAGAATTTCAACTCCTTAGTGAAAGGATTCGTATTGATCTTTAGGGATAGCCTTCACTCTTAAAAGCAAGGAGTAAGTAACATGACCATGTCGTAGGGCATACAAGGGAATACCAAGGCAATCAAGTGCCAAATCCATCCAAATAAGAGTGATATTAAGGGCAGAGGATAATTAAGAAAGACTTATAAAGATTGAACGTCACTTCCTACACCAACAAGATGCACATTCTTTTTTTCAATCATATGAACTTCATAGTTAAGTGTATTTTACTTGGAACAATTTTGTGTTGGATGACATCGGGTGAATTTTCCTTAAGATAAATGTAAGGAAAAAAAACATACTGGAAGGATTTGTGTTGTCTATGGAGATATAGTCTTTACTCTTAAAAGCAAGAAGTAAGTAACATGATCATGTCGCAAGGTATACGAGGGAATGTCGAGGTAATCAAGTTCTAAATTAAGATTTCAAATCTGGGCATGAGTCGTTACAAAGTTCCTCCCGAACCAGTGAGAGAATGAGACCCTTCGTTTAAGTCTCGAAATCAATACTTAAGAAAACTACTCATCTACTATTACTACGTGGGAAAAAGATAATGTCATCGTGTAAGATTACATTTTCAACTGTCTATTTGATCAAATTCCTAAAATGGTAAGCAAACTGAACTAGCTACAAAATCCCTTCTCACACATACAAATCGAAAGGTAATGTCTCAAAAGCAAAAGCTCATAGCTCACTCAAGATAAATATCGAGTCGAAATATAAGTTTTCTCAATTAACAAATTTATAAGGAGAGATTAAGTATTTCTTGGTCTAATCTTATACAGACTAATTATATAGGATTTGGATCAAATTATTTTGTAACAATGATAGTGTTTCAAAAATAAAACATCAAATATACTATAAATCCTTTTATTACTCGGACATGATCCTCGTATACCAACTACATAAACTATAAGCTTTAAGACACAAATCCTAACATATATCTATATCAGTTGAACTATGTTTAAATTGACTTATTTATATATATAAATTCGTATTGAAATGTAACCGAGATCCACTCTCTATTTCTTTTTGCAAAAAATCTTTTAAAAAAAATTAATTTTTGAATTGAAATATTCAAGATTTATTTTTCTACATTTGAGTTGTTGGGTCATTGTGGAACTCTTCCATAACGAGCCTTCCATGCCTAAGGTTACAATTGAATTGGGCCATTTCCCTCTTATTTCAAGAAGCCTAATTGTTGCAAGTAGCTAAAGAAAAAGGCCTAAATGAAAATTGACCCAACAATCTATATCCCAAAAAGATTCTTAAATTTTAAAATTTGATCTTCATTTTTTGAAATATAAACTTTAAAAAATCCTAAATATGACAAATTTTTTACCCACTAAAATTATAAATACATCGATTAATGTAAATTAGATAGAAGGTAAGAAACAAATCAATCAGCGTCATCTGAATATTCTAACAAATGATCAAGAGATTAGGCGTGACAGTAGTAGGTAACTATGAAAGGGTGAGAGTCGAGTGGCAAAGAGAAGGTTTAAATTGGTTGAGGGTTGATAATGAAGAGAGGTTAGTTCATTAGTGCTAAGTGTACATTGTCACCGAGTCATAACTTTGAGTATTCTAAATGTCAATCCCATAAAGATCGTATATAATCGAGTTTCGTTAGTAAAATTTTCGATCATATTGTTAAATCTAGTTTATTATTTTAAGTATATAATTAATAACAAACAATAATTGCGAAGTTTTAGGACATAAATTCTAACATAAATCAGTTAATTGATTTAGTAACATCTTCGACAAGTTAATCCAAAAGACATTGTACAATCTAGCATACCTTTAGCGATAATCACCTAAAACCATTTAGTCCACTATCCTATTTCCTAAAACCATTTAGTTTTTTACCCTGGCAATATTGAACTCGAACTTTTATGTAAACTTAAATTATTCAACATAGAATTGTTCCAAGTAAAACACGCTTTAACTTTTGAGTTCTGAATGAGCCACCAAAAAGAAAAGTGTACTTTGTTGGTATAAGTAATAATTTTTAAATCTTTCTTAATCATCCTATCCTCAAGATTACTCTTTTGCACCATTATCATTCATAAACATAACTAGTTGCATTGCTCAAGTATGTAACATTATTAAGTGAAATTTTTCGCGTTCTTAGGCATTGTCGCTTGATCGGAACGGATAAATAAGCGGTGGACCTACGACACTTCCGCGTCACGTGGTTACATGGTAATGTATCCTTTCAAGATCATGGAGCATGAGCTTTCTCTTTTTCTTTAGCACATATTATTGTTGAGATGGAAAGTGCTAAAAGGATGGTGGTCCAGAATGGCTTCTTTACAGCTTCATTTTTATTTGTCTACTCCCAAAAGTTTGTCTCTCTATGATGTCTATTTGTTGGTTGAGCTGCCCACAGACAACTCAGTAGGTTATGAAGGCTAAAGTTTCTTTTCTTGGTCCCCTCCATATATTGGTTGCACCAGCTGCTACCAAACTTATGCTTCATGTAGTTTTCTTGGTGAAGTACCTGCACGTTTCACTCCCTTTAGTTCGTACTTGTAACAGCTTAAGTCCACCGCTAGTAGATATTATCTTTTTTGGACTTTTCTTTTCAAGATTTCCCTAAAGATTTTTGAAACGCGTTTGCTAGGGAAAGGTTTCCACACCCTTATAAAAATGTTTCGTTCTCCTCCTTAACCGATGTGGGATCTCACAATCCACACCCTTCAGGGCCTAATGTGCTTGCTTGTTTTGTTCTCATCCCCCAACCGATATGGGATCTCACAATCCACCCCTCTTTGGGGCCCAGTGTCCTTGCTGGCACACTACCTCGTGTCCAACCTCTTTGGGACTTAGCCTCCTTGCTGGCACATCCCCCGTGTCTATCTCTAATACCATTTGGTAACGCCCCAAACCCACCATTAGTAGATATTATCCTCTTTGGACTTTCCCTTTTGGACTTTTCCTTAAGATTGTTAAAACGTGTTTGCTAGGGAGAGGTTTCCACACCCTTATGAAGAATACTTCGTTCTCCTCCCCTATCGAAGTGGGATCTCACAATCCACCCCCTTTCGGAGCCAGTGTCCTTTCTTGTTTCGTTCTCCTCCCCAACCGATGAGAGATCTTACAATCCACCCTTCTTCAGGCCCAGCGTCCTTGCTGGCACACTGCCTCATGTCCAACCCCTTCGGGGCTTAGACTCCTGGTTGGCATATCCCCCAATGTCTGGCTCTGAGACCATTTGTAACGACCCAAGCCCACAACTAACAAATATTGTCCTCTTTGAGCTTTTCCTTTCGGGCTTTCCCTTAAGGTTTTTAAAATGTATCTGCTAGGGAGAGGTCTCCACACCCTTATGAAGAATGCTTCGTCCTCCTCCCCAACCGATGCATTACAACCTGCATCAGAATGGAACGAGCGGGAAGTACTCGGTTTCAAGCAGAAGTACAGAGTCAACCTTCTCATTATTACTGCTACTTACTTCCAATCTATACAAATAAATGTCATGCTTGTCCAAAGGAAATAATCAGTGAACTGAACTGTTCTTCAGTTTCTTTGAATCTATGGTACTGCAGAAGGAACAGCTCTAATTAGAGGCTCAGATGATCTAGAAAAACTTGAACAATGAACTGCTGCTTTAGGATTTGTGATAGCTCCTCTTTCCAACAAATTAGGCTTCTCATACTCCTCAGTTTCATGCTTGATCTCATTCAGCATGGCTGCGACGTCTTTCATTGTCGGTCGCTCCTCCGGCACGGTATTGACGCAGAGGAGAGCGACGCCGAGCACTTGAAGCATCTGTTGGATTTGGGTTCCTGATCGTTGGAGTAACTGCTGATCAAGAATTGCTGTAAATTCCTTGTTTCTGTTTCTTAGTTCTTTGTTAGCCCATGTCACAATGTGGGCGCCTTCTGGGATTCTAGTGTCCGTTGGTGCCTTCCCTGTTAACACCTCTAGAAGCACAACACCATAACTGTATACATCACTTTTCTCTGTTATCCTTAAGCTGTACCCATACTCTGCATTCAAATTGCATATCATAAGAGCTATATCAATAATCTTATGATATTCGGAGGATTATTGGGAGGGAGTTCATATTGCCTAATAAAGGGGATGATTACGGGTTTATAAATAAGGAATACATCTCCATTGGTATGAGGTATTCTGGAGAATCCAAAAGTTAAGCCACGAGAGCTTATGCTTAAAGTGGACAATATCATACCATTGTTGAGGTTCGTGATTTCTAACATGATATCAGAGTCATAGCCTTAACTTAGTGATGCTTATAAAATCTTCAAATGTCGAACAAACAAGTTGTGAGCTTTGAAAGTGTAGTCAAAAGTGATTCACGTGTTAAACAAAGGGTGTACTTTGTTCGAGGGCTCCAGAGGAATTGAGCCTCGATTAAGGAGAGGTTGTTCGGGGGCTCCATAGGCCTTAGGGAAGGCTCTATGGTGTATTTTGTTCGAGGGGAGGATTGTTGAGAATTGTTGGAAGGAGTTTCACATTGACTAATTAAGGGGATGATCATGGGTTTTATAAAGAAGAAATACATCTCCATTAGTACGAGACTTTCTAGGGAAACCAAAATGAATACCATGAGAGCTTATGCTCAGAGTGGATAATATCATACTATCATGGAGGTTCGTGATTTTTAACATGATATCAGATTCATGGTCTTAACTTAGTCATGCTTATAAAATCTTCAAGTGTTGATCAAAAAAGTTGTGAGCCTCAAAAATGTAGTCAAAAGTGATTCACGTGTCAAACAAAGGGTGTACTTTGTTCAAGGGCTCCAAAGAAGGAGTCGAACCGCCAAGCCCACCACTAGTAGATATTGTCTTCTTTGAGCTTTCACTTTCAAGCTTCCTCTCAAGGTTTTTAAAACGCACTTCCGAGAGAGAGGTTTCCACACCCCTTGTAAAGAATGTTTCGTTCTCCTCCCCCAGCCGACGTGGGATCTCACAATACAAGGCTATTTTAAGCTTTGAAGTAAATTCTACTTGTCTATATAAGCAGGTAGTTTCAAGCTTTCCGTACTTACCTGGAGCAATATAGCCATAAGAACCAGCAACAGCATTGGAAGGTCTCGAACAACCCGAAGAATCGACGAGCTTCGCCAGGCCGAAATCCGCAAGAACAGCTTCAAATTGTGCTCCTACTAATATATTGTTTGCTTTAATATCACGATGAAGGATTGGAGGTATGCAATCATGATGCAAATAAGCCAAGCCATGAGCAGCTCCCAATATAATCTTATACCTCGCATCCCAATCCAAGAACACCCTCTTCTCATGCAGCAATCCACCCAAACTTCCATTACTGATATAATCAAACAAAAGCAGCCTAGTTTTGCCATTGTTACAGCAACCCAAAAGCCTAACAATATTCCTATGTCTAATGGAACCAAGAATCTGAACTTCAGCTGAAAACAAGTCTCTTTCTGTAACAACAACATCACCATTCTTCAAAGGCCATAGCTTCTTCACAGCAATGACCTGTTTCGCCGGAGTTTCGACACGATAAACCAAACCCGAACAACCCTTTCCAACGATGTTCGAATCCGATAACCTCGTAATGATATCATTCACAGAGAAACTCAGCTTCTGAAATGGAGTAAACTCCCAATCCAAGCTATCTTCATGGCTGTTCCTGCTAGTTGTCGTGCTGCGTACTTTTGCGAACAAACTCGACACGATTAACACAAACAATGCAGCTGAAATGACACTAAGAAACACAAGAACTATTAGATTTCTATTCAGTTTCCTCCCTCCGCCATTGTTGGTATCCATGTGACATTCTGTTCTTGAAAAACAGAGCTTTTGATTGCCGGAAAAAACAGAGGATGGGAGGCTTTGGAAGAACTTTGTATCGGGAAGAACACCGGAGAAGTTGTTGAATGAGACATCAAGAGAGACAAGATTGTCGAGATTCCCCAACATTTCGAGGCTTCCGATGAACATGTTATGAGAGATATCCAAATTAGCTAACTTAGAGAGATTTGAAAAGCTTTCAGGGATTTCACCATTCAATGAATTTGAACTCAAATTCAGAAGAATATCGAGTTCTTGAATTCGACCAATCTCAGATGGGATTGAACCAGAGATTCTGTTACTACTTAGATCCAATAATTGCAAATCTTTGCAGAAACCCAATGAAGATGGGATCGAACCAGTGATGAAATTTCCCTTGAGAATCAATTTGCTTAGAGATGAAAGCTTACCCAGATTTGCAGGAATGGCGCCGGTTAATCTGTTCATGGAGAGGTCCAAAACATTGAGTTCTACGAGGAAGGAGAACGATGAAGGAATATTTCCATGGAGTTCGTTTCCATGGAGATCAACCATTTCTAATTCAGTACAGTTCCCAATCTCCGGCGGAATTCCCGACTGAAATCGATTTTCCGATAGCTCTAGAAAGCTTAAATCACGAAGAAGCCCAATCTCCGACGGGATTTTTCCGGTGAAATTGTTTGATCCGAGGCGTAAACGAGTCAGGCCGGTACAATTCCCTAAATTCCGAGGGATTTCGCCGGAAAATCGGTTGGATATCAGTAATAATTGGCTCAAGTTCTTGAGATTCAATAGAGATTCTGGAATTGTTCCGGTGAGTGAATTATGGGAAAGATCGAGTGCTTCGAGTTTCTCGCAGTTGGAAAGCTCCGCCGGGATGTTTCCGGTGAGTGAATTCTGCCAGGCGAAGAACAGAGAGAGCTGGTTTAATCGGCCGATTGACGGCGGAATTCCACCGGAGAATCTGTTGTTATCCAATTCGAGTTGTTTCAGAGATGAAAAGTTTCCTATGAACGACGGAATTTCGCCGGAAAACTGATTTTCAGATAGAAGTAGCTCTTCAAGAGCGATTAATTTCGCTAAAGAAACAGGGACTTCCCCGGTCAAATCATTCAACGAGAAATCAAGAACAACAAGCTCTGTTCCATTCCCGAGAGATTCCGGAATCTCTCCGCTTAAATTATTCTGCCATAACAACACTCTTCTAATACTCTTCATATTCCCCAATTCGGCCGGAATTTTCCCGGAAAGTTGATTCTGATAAAGAAACAAATTCTCTAACGAAGAACAGTTCCCAATTTCCGGCGGGATTTCGCCGGAGAGATTCGCAGTATAAACCGAAAGCGTTTTGAGATTCTTAAGCTCTCCAAAACTCATCGGAATCCGCCCCGAAATCCCGGTATCTGCAAGCCCTAAAAACGTAAGTTCTTCACATTTAGAAATCTCGCCCGGAATTCCGCCATGAATGCCGTGATTTCCACCGGCGCGAAGAATCTCCAACGATTTCAACTCACCGATTTCCGCCGGAATCCTCCCAACCAATAGATTATCATAGAGTTCAAGCCGTTTCAGCGACGAACAGTTCCCAATCTCCGGCGGAATTTCGCCGCTCAACGAATTCGAATTCAACGACAAGAATTCCAACTTCGAAAACTCCCCAATCTTCGCCGGAATCTCCCCTGTCAAAGCATTAAAACTCAAATCCAAAAGAATCAACGAGGATAGATTACAAACTGTTTGTGGAAATGCCCCAGTGAGATTAGCATTAGATAAAACGAGTTTAGTGAGGGATTTGAATCCAAGAAGCTCCACCGGAAAACCAGTTCCGAGATTAATGGAGGAAATCTCAATTTCAGTAACAAATCCATCCCCTGAACATTTGATATAATCCCAAATGCATGGATTCTGATGGGTCAAATCCCAAGATGAGAAAAACGTAGCAGAAGAAGAGGAATTAAACGTTGAAAGCCATGAAAGCAGAGCGATGCCCTGTTGATTGAGACCAGAAATTAATGGCAACAACAAGAACACCAAGAACACCAAGAACAACACAAAGGTTGAAACAGAATTTGAGATTCTTATTCCTCTCATCATGACATTGTTATAACTGAATTGGATGAACAAACCCACACCAGAATTCCCACTTTCTTCTTAAACAGAAACAGAATCGTATGAAATGTTGTTCATCTTCGGAAAAGGTTGGCGCAAAAAACATTGGTAACATGCAGATTGGCAGATACAAACAAGTGGGGGTAGAAAGATGAGATTATGGGTGGTTTTCTTTTTACTTCAGATTGATTTTTTTTAATCCATTGTTTGATTTTGATCTCTGAAACTGATTCTACTTATTGATTGCTCTGTTTGTGAGGGTAGGAAGTGATGGAGAAGAAAACACCTCGAGTAGGAAGTACAATGGTGGATTATTATGTTAAAATATCATTTTAGTCCTTATCATTTAAATTTATTTATTTTCATAATAGTTATCATTGATTTTTATAGAAATTAAGAAAATATAATAATAATTTTCATTAAAAAAAAAACAAAATAATATATTTCCAAAATTTATGAAGATTATTATTTTTTTTTCAAAAAAAAAAAAGTTCGAGATTAAATGATTGAATCAATGATTAATTAAGCCAACACACCAACTGAAAAAAGTTGTTTAACATCTAAGAAACTATCGACTTGAACTCCAGTGTAAGAGGGAGGTCTCTTGCTAAATTACAACAATTGTTTATTTTCATCCCACTTGAGCAGTTTCGAGTTAATCTAATAATACATTTTCTGACAACTCCAGGTTTGCCTCTTGGCTGATCCAACTTGGGTCTGATACGCACGAACCTCTTCCCTACTAGTTTCAAAAATTCGGAGGGATTAAGGTTAGTATGACTACTTTTTAGCTCATTTAAATTATTTGAAGTTAAACTAATTGAAAATGACTTAGGCTTAGACCAACCAAGTAAGTGGCTCTAGTATCGCATAGGTTGGATGAATTGTATTATGTATGATGATGCATGCCCCGTGACCCTTGCACGTGTTATATGTATGAATAATATGATTAGGTCATGTGGTATAAAACTTCTATGAAATTAATAATCTATGATGCATAAACCTTCTTGAACCATGCCATGAAAGTTATGTTATGTATGTAAGAATGTATAGGAATTCACCGACTTTGTTATGTTATAGATGAGTGAAGGTTTGTCTTCCATCATAAATTATGCCATGATTATAAGATATGAGGACCTTGTGCATATTTTGTGTGTCATGTGCATTGAGATACTTCCACATTATGATGACTACAGACGTGTACATTACAACTTATGATTTATGACATTTATGTTCGCCATGATGCTTTGCGGGCCCTTTCACTCTGTGGTATTCGATATAACCAGTTGGCAAGTGCTAACCCGACAAGTCAGGCTCAGGGAGTGTGCAAGCTTGCCTAGTGAGCCCATGTTCGCACACGTATGTCATGTGTAGAGAAATGGTTAACTAGTGGGAGTAGGCACGTAACTATATCATAGGGTCATTATAATTTTTATCCTTGAACTTTAAAAATTGTTATAAACTATTCCAACAAATTAAATATCTTTCCGTTACAATGAATAATGAAAATTGATAGGATAATTGATGTGTAAAAACTTTAAAAAAATATATGTAATATTATTTATAAATATACATAAGTTAAGACCGTTATTACCGTTTATTACATATCGAAAGATACTGTCAAAATAATTTATGTACATGTTTGCATAATTATGATGATTAGTGAGACCTAAAATTTAACGGACCTTGAGCTCTACTTTTTTTTTTAGGTAAAATTGGATGTGCATTAATTCCATACACATGACCCACGTGCATGCACATACCCACTGGGAGAGCATTCACATTCTACTCCCTAGGTTTGTTTATGGGTATGTGTACGCTCACGCAACCGAAACGTGTAAAAAAGAAGGAAACACTTCAAAAATGAATAATGAATGTACGTGTATTTCGTGATTATGAAGTTATGTATGACTGAAATGATCACACATATGCATGAGATCCGATAAAATAATATTAATAGTTTAATGATTTTGTGTAACATAGAATGTTTTCATGCATAAATAAATACTCGTAACTTATATGACTGATATTCATGTCATCCTTCGTTTAATCATATAGAATTATCTATCTCAATAACTCATGACTATCATCATAATAGCACATGTATCATATAATTGTACATAGCCATCTGTCTCACTAATGCATATTAATCATCGGAGATGCACATGCATCTCATAATTATACATAATCATCGGTTTCTATAACACATGTTTAATCATCTTAATAATACATGCTATTCATATAATACTCGATTCATCCAACCAAGTTCTAAAGTATTCCAGTTTCAAAAGGATCAGGCTCGCTGATTACTGACAGCGGACCTCTTATCTATTCTCCTCTCGGTATCGGACCTAGCTATTGAATATGCTTTACCGAGTGTTTGAAGATGAAGCCATTGCATTAGATGTGCATGTAGTCATAGTAGTCGGCTCATAGTAAGCTTACGTACCTCAAATGTAGTTCCTGATAAGTTATCATTTAGGTAAAACCTTAATGAAGTCAAATCTTACCACAAAATAAACTGAATCAAGTTAAGAATTGGGTTAGTGACGATTTGTGGATGTCAAAGTTGGTTGCCAATGTCGGAGTGAACAAAAAAGACAATGGGCAGAAAGTGTAGGGCACATTCTGAAAGGAGAGAATCGAGAGAGAAAGAGATTCATGAGGAAGTAATTCGTCTAATATGAGACAAGTGGAGGGTGATCGTGTGAATGAATAGTCGAATCAAGTAGATCTCAAAAGATGAAGCGTTTTAGGCAGTAGATCAACAACCTACAGGCTCACTCAACTCGACCTGACCTGTTGACTTTTTTTCTCGAGTCATTACATCGATAGCTTTAATAAAAGTAAAGCAATGTAAAGTCATAAGGGCTATGTACATGTGTATTTGTGTGGTGATGTAAAAAGTTAGTGAACAAAGATGGCTTATCTACTCAAAGCAAAGAAAGGCACATGGTGAAAGGGACAAAGCAGCCTGCCAGACATAAAAGGCAAAATCATGTATCACTTAGATGCTTAAATTTCATTTTGGTACCTATCTTCTAACATTTGTTGTGCCTTTCAAAATTTTTAAATGTTTATTTTATTCTTTTTTATCTTTAATTTTTTTAAATTAAGCAAAATATATAATGGTTTGTTCTTATCATTCTTTCGTCCTTAATTATTCAATAGCGGAATAAGGTTATTGTAACGGCCTAAACCCATTGCTAGCAGATATAGTGTTTTGTTCTCCTCCCCAACTAATGTGGGACATCACAGTCCATCCTCCTTCGGGATGCTTCCACCCCCTTCGGGACCTAGTGTCCTCGCTGACACTCGTTCTTTTCTCCAATCGATGTAGGACCATGTCAAATCCACCCCCCTTTGGGGCCAGCGTCCTTACTGGCACACCACCTCACATGTCTACCCACACACTTATAAATGGTGTTTTGTTTTCCTCCCCAATCAATGTGGGACATTACAATCCACCTCCTTTGAGGCCAGCATTCTTACTGGCACACTGCCTCGTGTCTACGACCCTTCAGGGAACATCAAGAAGGCTACACAATTGTCCAGTGTTTGACAATAATACCATTTGTAACGGCCCAGACCTATCACTAGTAGATATTGTCCTCTTTGGCTTTGGCTTTTCCTTTTGGGCTTCCCCTCAAAGCTTTAAAACATGTCTACTCGAATGAATGGTGTTTTATTCTTCTACCCACCAATGTGGACATCAGAGTTTTTAATAGGTAGGTAGTAATAATGTTTTTTAAGGTCAATTTTTCAGATTAAAAACTAAAATTTATTGTCTTGTTTGATAAAGATTTTTGTTTTTAATTTTCAAATTTCAAAATTTATGTTTGTATCCTTCTAATTTTCCTACTTTTGTTATCACATTTCTTAGGGAAACACTTGAATTCTTAGTTAAATGTTAAAAATAAAAACAAGTTTTTGAAAGTTACTTTTTTTTTTTTTTTAACTTAACGTGCTTTTTAAAAATATTAATAGAGAGTCGAGAACAAAACAATAAAACTTATATCTCGAAGTGGTACTGGAATAGTCCTCGAAAATAAAAAATAGAAACCAAATGATTATCAAACAAATCTAAAATAGTGATCAAACGAGTCTATATAGTGAATTTTTTTAGTTAGTTCATCTACTTTCAATAAATCTTAAGTTTAGTCTTGAATAATGATAATTAGTAGATATTGTTCGCTTTGATCTATTACTTATTATCATCAGACTCATGTTTTTAAAACGTGTCTCGTCTTTAGCGGTAGATCTTCAGGTAAAAACACTTAAATCATTTATGGATAAAGTTGTTCAATGAATGGTAAGTGAATCTATTCGTAAAGAAATTATTAAAAATTAAAATAATAATAAACTAAGAAGGGGCCCATTTTTCTCCCATTCATGAACCTTCCTTCACCAAATCAAGCAAATCTTCTCCATCTTATTTGTTACCTATGCATGATGCAAAATTCTCTCCATATCAAGATGTAGAGTCCATGTTATTTGTATTTTTCTTGGATTCTTGATAAAATAAATTAATGGAAATATTGTACAAAATCTTTTATTCTTGATTTGGTTAGCTTATTTACAAAGAACAAAAACATCTAAAAGTCAAGGGTAGCTAAAATGTTTGTCAAATTTCCAATCTAACTTATGGTGTTAGTGAGTTGGATTGGGTCGGGTTTGAATGTTTTCTTAGATTCAGCTCAATTATTGGAGTTAGTAAAATTTTCAATCAAAACAACTTAATTAAATAATGAACCTGATCTAATCCAACTTAGAGTTGAGTTAGTTCGAATTGTTTGGGTCATTTATTCAATTTTTATTTTTTAATAAAAGTAAAATGTTAGTTCGTAAAACATCTATTTCCTTATTTTCAAACATCAACTTTATTGTGAATATATATTTTGAAAAATTACCTTCTAAATAATTAAAAATTATATTTAAAGAGTGGTTGGAAAATAAATAAACAAAAAAAAGAAATTAAATAAAAATAAAAATTAATATATTTTAAAATTAACCATAAATTCGAATTAATTTAGTTCGATTCAATCTAGTTTTAGAAGAATTCACGAATCCACCCGATTTATAAAATTTTCATTTACTTAAACAAAACTCATCTCAAATAAATTCATAACCCAAATTGAACTCTGTAAAATGTAAAGTTGAACGATTTTTAAAGTTTAGAAACTTATTAAACGTAAAACAAATGTATTGTGGGGTCATGTATGAGTAATAATTTGTAAGGTTGATGATTTGGTATGAGATTATTGAGGTAAGGGGGCAAGAGT